ACACACGGCCTGCTGTTGAAAGTGTGCTGAAGTTTTATTGCACACGTATCAAATTGCAGCAAGAAGTGCTGAGCTTAAGAGTTTAGAGGTACATTCCCTGGTCACTGAACCAACGCCCTAGCTGCACCACTGCACTTAGAGCATGTGGGCAGATTAACCCATACATAAGCTGTCCCTAACCCTTGAGATGATCTTTTTAAAAAGGAACAAATAAACCAGGCATAGTGGTGTATCCCTGTTATCCCAGCACCCAGGAGGCTGGGACAGGAGGATCCCCACAAGTTCAAGGCCAGCTTGAACTACATAGCAAGACTCCATCTCAAAAAAACAAAGAACAAACAGCTCTTAAATCAGAACAGAGGGTTACAGAGGAGAAACAGATAACCCTGAGGAAACAAAAATGCATGGCACAGGAATAAATTCAGCATAAAATAGAAAGTAAAAAAGTAGAGCACATAAATAAAAAGAAATAGAGCACAATGATATCAGGAATAAATTAGGAGCTATCTCTACAGACTGCAGACATTAAAAAAGACAAAATAATACTTTTATGGCAATAAGTTTGACAAATTAGATAAAATGGGAAAATTTCTCAAAAATAATTTACCATTACTCAGACAAAAATATCAAATTATGCACATACATTTACTTAGAGATTAATTCAGACTTACAGGAAAGTTGTAAAATTAGCACATAGTGTTCACTTCCACCTCTATCCAGAGTCCCTTCTGTTTACCATTTATTCAGAAGTGCAGTCTGACAATGGGTAACTTACTGAAGCACTCTAAATGTCAGTTTTCCAGTCTACACAATAGGAATAAGAATGAGACCTGTTATGGCTTGTGTTTAGAGGTCTCTAAAGCCTCATGCGAATGAGGTGTGATGATGGAATCGATTCACTGTGCAGTGCTAGGCTCAAGGTGCTAGGATTAAGGATGTGTGAGTGCCCTTTCGATAAGATAAAAGGGGCAGAAAGACACTGTTAAGTTCTCTTGTTGCCTTACTGCCTTTGGTCCGCCATGAACTGTTGCCCTTCTGCGTTGGAGCCAGCCAACTATGGAGTGAAACGTCAACAAACTGTGAGCTAAATAAACCTTCCCTCCTTTAACTTTGTGTGTTGGGTGTTTTGTCTCAGCATCGAGAAAAGTAACTAAGACAGGGCCCTACCAGTGGGTTATCAGACTAAGTGAGAACACGTGTGCTGTGCTTAGCAGAAAGATTGGCCTTTGGTAGCTGCTCAAGAAATGCTGGCTTCCCGTTTACACTATCCCTGCATGGAGGACCATCAGAGTACACTAAATAGTGTCCCTTTAACTGAGCACCTACTTATGCCAAGCATCTTTAGGCACTTTATTACTTTGAAATCTCATAATAATTCTGATATTTTATTCCCATTATAAACTAGGGCCTTCAAAGAATAGGAGAGTTGCAAGGCCACATTGGCTGTAGGGAAGGGTTGTGTGCTTGTTTTCTTTTTTCTTTTTTTTTTTTAATTTGAGACAGGGTCTCACTAAGTTGCCCAGACTGTGCTAACACTCGTGATCTTCCTGCGTCAGTCTCCCAGAGTACTGGAACTGCAGGTATGCACCACCACCCAGGCTATGGGCTGTGTGGTCTTGACTGCACTGACCACCCTGCCCCTGGTATTTGGACTTCAGTGTGTAGTGGCACGTGTAGGTTCCCAAAGTCTCCTCCTGTGGCAGATATTAACTGATGTGTGGTCTTTAATCATGGTACAAGGAAATCTGTTTCTACAGGCTTTTATCTACAAAATTAGAAATGGTTTTCTTGCAGGAGAGCAGTTTCTTCTGGCTGTCTGGACATAATACTAAGGAGACAAACTCCTCGATGTTCGGTGCAGCCCTGCACAGTTTGTTGGTGAAAGCTCCAGATAAAACATGGAAGCAAAATGTAGTGCCTGGTCGAGGCCTCTCCTAGATTTGGTGCTCGACAAACATTTGTGTAATAAATGAACTGGGCAAAGTCACTGCTCTCCTGTTAAATAACCTCCACCCTTCTTACTCTGCCCTTTCTGCTGTTACCCTGGTCAGGGTAACATTTTCCTTTATAAGTGCTTTGTGGGGACTGGTGGCATTAAGGGACCCAAAAAGATGCCAGGTAAAGGAGATAAAAGGAGAAAAGCAACAAGCGAGGAAACTGACAGCAAGGGTCTCACTGTGTAGTTCAGGCTGGCCTTGAACTCATTATGTAGCCCAGGTTGACCTCTAATGTGTGCCAATCCTCCTGCCTCAGCTTCTCAAGTTCTGGGATTACAAGCACCTGGCCTCTGGTCTGGTTTTAAACACAATTTTTTTTTTGGTACCGGGGATCAAACTTGGGTCCTTGCAGCAGATGGCAAAACCACTGAGCTAAATCCCCGGACCTTAAACACAATTTTTTACAGTAGTCTTGTCTTGTTTTTCATTCCTGCTTTAACAAAGAACATGAGTGTTTCAGAGCAATGATCCCAGGAGGTGCCAATTGGTCCTGCCCAAAACCTTTGAAACTATTTCTTTTAGACATGTGACCCGGACCAAATTAACCCCCCAGTGATCCAGGATGTTCTCTTGAAAACTAGAGAGGAAACAGAAGGGATAAAATAGCTGACAAACTCATTTTATTAGGTCCGAGGTGAGTTTTTGGAGTCCGAAATGTAGCATTCCCATCTTATTTTCAAGGGTTGTCAGCCTTGGCAGGTTCCAGCTGCAGAGGATCTGGTTGGAGACTGCAGATCCAGGGCAGCTGTGGACAGAGAGAAGGGGCAGTCACAATGGGAAGGTTAATTCAGAATAGATACCAGAGCATGGAAGGGCAGGTACCCAGACAGCAAGGGTGACAAATGAAAATAACAAATATGAACAACAACAACAACAATGAAAATCTCTGTTGAAATGTAGAAGCATTTGAAGAAGGAAGGAACCAGAAAGATCTGTTTTTGTCAATAAAGTCCCTGAAGGGGCCGGGGATTTACCTCAGTGGTTTCGCCACCTGCTGCGCAAGTGCAAGGACCTGAGTTTGATCCCCGGTACCAAAAAAAAAAAAAATGAAGTCCCTGAAGTCCTATGACTGTGGATTCCATAGAAGTCACACAGTCTCCCTAGAAGTGAAAGGGGAGAGCTCTGGCCTGTCCCACAGTGCAGCCTTAGACCTTAATTTGCATGCCCGGGCCTGCTTGCAGCTCTCAGCCTGGCTTCAGTTTCTTCCCTTGTGAAACCTGGAGTCTCTTCCAGCCTAAGGACTCTGTAGAAAGGCAGGAGAAAACAGAAGTCTTCTTACATCCTCCCAGTTCTGGTGCCCAGCACACAACCAGACTGGCAGAGAGTGCTGGGCCTTCCAGAGGAGCTCATAGCATAAACACAAGGTGGGATGAGACACAAAATAAACACAGTCACACTGGCCAGAATGAACCCTTTCATTCTCATGGGAGAGTGCAGCCAGGGAGGGGGATGCCGGGCTCTTGGCATAGACAGCAAACTCTGAAACCACAGGTTCCAAAGCCTGCCCTGGATTAGGCTACAGCTGTCCCAGCCTCTCCACCTGGACAGAGAGTAGCAGTGTTCTGACCAGGTCTCTCTTCAAGTAATTCAGCCAGGAATGCAAAGCCAGAGTGTGTGGGTCCCGGGTGCTTGCCCAGCATGCATGAGGCCCTGGCTCCATACCAAGGGCAGGGTGGACGTAACACATGCGCCTGTTCTGCTTCCCAGACTAGGAGCAGGAGACCCCCAGTGGGATTTCCTGGGCAGCCAGTGCTTTGGTAGCCAGCTTGTGTTTTGTGGGGGACTGGCTGTCGTCTGACAGTTTCTGCTGTCCCCAGATTCATATATTAAAACCTATCCCTCAAGGTGAGAGCACTAGGAGGTGGGGCCTTGGGGAGGTGATTAGGTCAGGAGTGTCCCACCTTCACGAATGGGATTAGTGTCTTGTTCTTAAAAAGAAGGCATGGGGCAGAAAGCTTGTCCCTTCCACCTGGGGAGGATACAGCAAGCTGCCATTTATGAACCAGGAAAGGCACCAGACACCAAATCTGCCAGCACTTTCATCTTGAACCGTCAGCCTCCAAAACTGTGAGAAGCAGCATTTCTGATGTTTATTAGCCACCTAGCCTATACGGCAGCACCAGTGGACCAAAAGAGACCTCCCTTTAGGGTTCCAGTGGACAGCATTTCTTGTTCACACAGGGCTGTAGCTTTCAGGGAGCCCTTCCTCCCTCACTGTGAGGTGAAATGTGGACAACAAGAAATGGATCTGGGGCTTGACCAGGCTTGGTGGCTCATCTTCTGCAAACTTTGCAGTAAGGACACAGAGCACCTTCTATAGGAGCTTAGGTCTTAGGTGCACGGTCCCCAGAACCCTTGGGTGAAGGGACCTCTGACTGTGCCCACCTGTTCTTCCCAGGTTCTAACTCTACCTGAGCTAGGGTCTGTGATCTGGCCTCCTTTTTTTTTTTTTTTTTTTTTTTTGCGAGGCAGGCGGTGGAACCACTGAGCTAAATCCCCGCCCCCGGCCTCCTTTTAAAACGTACGTCTTCTTTCTTCACTGTGGGGAACAGGAACTGTAAGTTAGGAGGAGAACTGTCAGTTTTAGGTCCCTGTCCTGTGTGCTCTTAAACCCCAGCGGCATTATTTTCCAACCCGCCAGACTCCTTGGATGGAAAACTTAGGCCAAGTTTAGAAAGCCCATATCTGGGCCACACTGGCCCAGCTCTCCGGGTGTTGTGGAGGATCATGCCCTCCTGGAGGCTTTGCAGTGGGGCAGCCCTAGGCTTGGATCTTCCTTCCCTCTGCAACTTGTCACTGGGTGACTGAGTCTCGGCCCCTCTGGTTGAGAAATGAGGACAGTCAGGAGTGGCCCAGCGCAGGGTGGGCTCCTGGTCCGGCATCGGCCAGAGGATGCCCGCGCTCGTCCTCCGCGTCTCGCCCGGCCTCCTGGGGGAGCCGCAAGGCTTGGGCGTGCTCCCAGGCGCATTCCTGGCCGGGCAGCCCCTCCTCCGTCGGACTTGGCCAAGGGGCTGGCGCCTCCCGCCTCGCAGGGACCGTCTGGGGCTGGCGGTGCGGACTTGTGGCAGCCGGTGTCCAGGGTAGGGCGCGCCGCGCACCTGGCCGGATCCCCGCGGGCCACTGCGCCCGGCGTTGAACTGCGGGGACCCGAGCGGCAAGGAGGGTGCACGGAGCTCTCTCCCCTTCTCAAGCAAGCGGCGAGGCTCCGATTGGCAAGATGGTGCCCAGCTCTCCGCGAGCACTCTTCCTCCTGCTGCTGCTCCTCGCCTGCCTGGAGTCGCAGGCTTCCCAGGTCAGTGTCCCCGAAGCCGCCTCTGCCCTGTCCCAGAGCAGGGCGGCAACGCCAAGGCTGGAGCGTTCCACTTGGACACTCGGCTTGGGAGCTTGGGGTTCAGTTTCAGAAGAAAGACGCAGGGTCCCCGTCTGTCATCTCCACTGCGTCGCGGGCCAGGCGCCCCCTGGGGTCCTGGGCTGGTGTCACCCAGCGGTTTTCGGTTTTCGAGAAAGCTGAGGGAGAGCGCTTCTCCTGAGAATCGCTGGTAGCAGGAAGATTTCCGACACTTTGGTCCTTTTTGGGTCTCTTGGAAAGCGCCCAACCGCCCGGTGAGGTTAGAGAACTTCTCTGCCCTCCAACATTTACATTTCTCACTAAAATACTCTGCCAACGCCACACCTTGAACATCCAGGCAACATTCTTAGCAGTTCGAAGCATTCGAAAGGCAGAGGTGACTGGAAAGGTTCTGAGGCAGCCACATCTTGAGGCTTGGCGGTCTCGCTTAGAATTGGGACTTCGTTTTCTTTCATCCACATACAGGCAGCTTGCTATTTAGTTTCTCTGCTGTTTATATTTGTTGGAAAACCACTTGGATTGGTCTGTTTGATCAGATTCACTTTACCTTATAGCCATTAGAAACTGATTTTTTAAATGCAGATTGAAAATGCATCTTAGGAAGGTAGAACTAGAATTGCCAAGTTCACAGCCAGCATCTATGAGACTATTTTTGGCCGACAGCAACTGCTTCCCTCAGTAAGGGGCCCAGCCTGTGCACAACCCCATCAGCTACCCTGGCTGTGCCGTCCAGCAACAGCAGGACTGGCACAATCTTGGGGCCTGGTGTGTGCCTGGATCCTTTTGGGGCATTGTCCTGGCACTTAATTCTCACAGCCACCCTTTGAGACGAAGACTGTTATCATCAACTTTTGCAGAGGAAAAAATTAAGGTACAGAGGTGTGATTTATTCAAGATCACACAGCAGAACAATTCTGTAGATTACAAAACAAAACAAAATCTTCAAACCCAATGTCAGAATCACAGGAAGATGCAGCCCCAAGTGGCTCCCCAGCCCTGGCTGTGGAGGGGGCAGGTGGACAGGAGCTCAGCTCTGCCATTGCCTCATCTTAGCTGCTCAACCCTTAAATAAGGGGGCAAACAGCTGTCACCTGAGGTCACCAGAAAACAGGTGAGGTTAGGGCAGTTATATGTTTGGGGCTACTGTAGAGTCAGGAGTGAGCTTGGCCTAGTTCTGTTCCCAGGAAATATGGATCCAATCCCTGCCTGACCACATCCAGGCTTTCTCAAATTCCTTACTATTAAATTTTGCTCTCTCTACCTGATAAAGTTGCTGTGGGTGTTTTGGGGTTGCGGGGAGATTGTCCATAAATGCTCACGTCAAAGTCCTGGTGAAAGTATCCTTTTCACCCAGAGACCTATAGGCTTTGTGCTCTCTCAGGCCTCTGCTCCTGTTGGAACTCTTCTGGCTTACCTGGCCTCTTCTCATCTTTCAGATCTCAGCTCAGATAAGCACCCCTTTGCAAAGCAAAGGCCATCTGAGCCTCACTTTGAACAGGCCCCTGCCCTGCTCTGCCCTTGCATTTTCTCTTATGGTTTCCTGAAAGGCTCTGGGATTAGACTGATCAGTGCTGTATGGAGGAGGTTGGGTGGGATTGGGGTTGGCTGTTTGTCTTCCTCAATACAGGTCCACTCCATAGAAGGAGCTCAGGAGAGCAGTGGCCCACCATGGTGTGGAGGCCTCTGGGCAGACCCTGGCTGCACTCATATCACCCGGGGGGCTTTTTAAAACCCTGATGCCAGCTGCACCCTCAGGATTCTGATTCAATTGGTCCCTGTGTCTCAGAAATCCATGTTTGAGCAGTTGCCTTGGTGATTCCAATAGAGAAGATGCTGAGGTCCAGGGCAGTCCTGGCTCTCAGCATTAGATGCTGTGGAACAGGGAGAACTGAGGACGGGGAATCCACACTGGGCATAGGACTGGCCACATGAGAACCTCACGTGATAGGGCTGCTTGACAGTGTGAGCTCTGTAGTGAGATTTTGTGGCTGCTGGAGACTCGCTAAGTATTCGGAGATTAAATTGGACCCACTGGCCCATCTCTGGTCTCAGAGGGTGTGTAGGTGGGCCCACAAGGGACACTGAGAAGGGGCCTCCCCTGGCAAAGGCCCGCGGCCCTGGAACACAACCCACAGGGTTGTCTGGGCTTCCTGTTTCCCTGTGAATGCGATCACTTTGTTGTGTTAGGTGACAGTTGTGTGCATGCACATGTCAGTGTATATGAGTGTGTGTCTATGTGTTGCTCTGTGTCTGTGTTGTCTGTGTCAATGCATGGCTGTGTATGTGTATGATGGTGTGTGTGCACGAGTCAATGCATATGAGTGTCTGTGTGTTACTGTGTGCTCATGTGTGAATGTGTGATGATGGGTGTATATGTATTTGTGTGTGTACATATGCTAGTGTGCATGCGTTGTTGTGTGTGGTGGTGGGTGCCTCTATGTGTTGCTTTCTATGGGGTCTGGAGCAGTGACTCTGTGGGGATGGCCAGTCCCTCTCTTCCCTGCTGTCCTCCATGGCTTTCCACTGTGTCCCCTGTCAGCACATCTATCCAAGTGGCTTTGAGGCGTTTTATGACTGGCTGACAGAGATCAGGTGGCTATAGGGAAGGAGGGGAAGCAGACAGTATGGGGGCCCCAGAATGGACCCTCTCAGTACTCTTCCCACTCCAGGGACATCCCCCTGAAAAGAGAACCAGGCACACTGGGGAGACAAGAATGAATCTTTAACCACCCCACAGCTCCCACCACCCCACAGAGGCACCAGGTGGCAGTAAGGTACAGGCTCCCAGCCTCCCTGCCTTGGGGTAGACTTCTCTCCCCGTGATTAGATGTCTCAGGCTTCCACATTCCACCATCAGAGGTTCATTTATTTATTTGTATTTTTAAACATTGTCAAATAAAAAATGAATGTTTTGTGCATATTTCCATGATGTCAACCATAGAGCTCCAGTCTACATGTAGCAACCACCTCTAAGACAATCAAGATACAGGGTGGTCCCATCCCCTTCCAAGAAAGACAAATGAAACCTTACTGCCCTTTGGAGTCAGTGCACCCACCCCAGGCTCAGGGGGTCTGTTCTGCATCACTGTGGTAGCATCTGGTCACAGTAGGTGCACAGACCCAAGAGCTCCTTTACATAGTGTAATGCAACTAAGACTCATTGTATTCAAGGTTTCTTTTTGTTGCTGAGACTGATCTGTCATAGCAGTTACCACAGTGTATTCAGCCACCCATTGAACAACACTGGTGGCAATCATGAGAAGAGCTGCTATGAATGTCTGGATACAGCTTTTTGTGTAAATGTAAATTTTCATTTCTCTGGGGTGAACACCTAGGTGCGGGGTGTCTGGGTTGTGTGGTGAATGGATATTTAATTGTGCAAGGAACTGCTGAGCTGCACTTCCTATAGGATGTATCATTTTATACTCCCACCAGCCATGTATGAAAAACCTAATTGCTCTGTAACTTCACTCATACTTAATATTGCCAGGTTGGTTTGTTTTCTCCAAATCACTCTAATACATATATATATAT